TAGTCACAAACTCCTTGAAACCGACGACGATCAGGAGTCCCAGAGTTCTTAGAGTAAAACACTGATGAATCAAGACTGGAAGGTACAGCAGAGAGCTGAACTCGTTGAGACTCCTCTTGAGAAATCATGGAGTACGCCTGGTTCACCGAAGGAAGAGGCTGCATCAGTAGGACTTGGCTCCGAACCGAGGAACAAGTCTCATTTAAGCCCATCAAAAATTGAAGAAGTTGCTGCTGAGCAAGGTGCCTGGAGTATTGCTGCGAGCTGGCATACTCATACGATGGAATCGGCACAAGTGTAGCATATTCATCCCACAGTATCTTCGATCTAGTAAAGTAATTCGAAACAGTTAACTCACCTTGAGAGATGGTGGCTATTTCACGATGGAGGAAGAAAATTCTTGAACCATTAACTTTTTCAAAGCGCTCCTTCAAGTCGTTCCAAATGGAAGTCGCATTTGAGGAAAAAACTATGCCAGCCGAGAGCTCCCTACTCACGGCGTTGAGAATCCAAGACAATACAATGGCATTACACCTCTCCCACTGAGGATGTAAATCAGGATCATAAAGCTCCTTCTGGCAAGCACCATCAACGAAGCCGAGCTTGTTTTTCGCCAACAACGCGATGCGTATCGATCTGCTCCAGACGTTGTAGTTCTCCAATCCAACCAGTTGATGAGAGATTAGCGGTGTATCAGGAGTGTCTGACGGATGCAAGAAGAGAGGGTGATTGAAATCGATCGGAGACGTTTCGTTTATTGGAGGCATGGTAATGGAAATCGTTGAATGAAATCCCTAGAGAACTGATTTGGGGAAAGACGAGGGAGAAGAGAGCTGCTACGGAAACAATACCGAGCCATACTTACTTGGTTTAGAAATGGGCCAAGCATAGTAACCCAACAAGGAACGGCCTGTAAATTGATACCATGTTAAAAATAAAGCCATGTATATTATTATTCAGCTGAATCTACAATTTATAATACATTGTACAAGCAATAACACATGAACTGGAAAATAACTGCTTCTAACAAACTCCTAACAGCCTCTCAACTAACTTATAACAAACTAACAAATCATTTGCTATCTTAACAATTATTCAGACAAAGGCGTAATATTCCAACACACTCGATCTTATGCTTGTCAGAGCATCGAAGCTTATTATTCAGAATCTTTGGAGTTTTATCCAACTAGTATTTAGTTATCAATAGAAGCTCGTGACGCGAGGTCTGAGGGGAGTCGAAGGTTAATTCATCAATTTCATAAATCCTTTATCGTGTCGTTATATAAATTGTTATGTTAAAATAAGTTGATTATCACGTCAATATCATCAACTGTCACATTAATAATATAATATTCAATCATAATTTTCGTCAAAGATCACATTGATTATTTTTAATTTAAACAATATATAATTATTTTCCGAAGGTTAAAAGAGACTATTTCACCGTTAAAAAATATTATATACATATAAGTTAATGCAATGGGTCGCCGATACATGATATCACCCGTGACTGTAACTCTAAAAAAATAACATAAAGAATTTATTTTTGGTGATCGTTATTCCTTGATTTGTATACATATTTTTGAATTACAAAAATATGTGTGTTTTAATTAATCAAACTACCAATTTTCTTAGAATACATGCATAATTATTACTATCGTGAGGATGATTATTATAGGAGGAAGTGTTTCAAGCTTAGTCTATGCTTATCTACTTTGAAATAAGTAGTTTAAATTTAGGAAATTAATTATTATTGACTAGAACAAATAAAATAAATTGAGGAAGTTTAGAATATTCTTTTCAAGCCTTAATTTGATTTCATTTGCAAAATTCCTCATGCATCTCATGATTGTAATTGGTAGGGGACCAAATGAGTATTATCTTCTTCAAAGTATTCTTTTTGTAATTGGTAGGGGATCAAATGAGTATTATCTTCTTCAAAGTATTCTTTCTCTTTTTCTTATGAAATCATTAACTGTTCGTTACTCTTCATTCAAATTAAAAGAGATAATCGGCTGAAAGTTGTTGCAATCACAAAAATCATTGATATTTGAACCTCGAAGAACAGTGTTAGTCCTCACACGTGCCATTTGGAGCCTGGCTTGCAGTTAGGAACATTTTTCTCATGCTGCGATGCCATTTAAGAGAGCAGAGATCCAATGAATAGTATACGAGCAATTACACATTCATTCGCTTTAGGGTGGTGCGATTGATTAACGTCTCGATAAACTATTAAAATTCGAGTTTTATTAGTATATTAAACTTGAATCGTAACGTATATTAACCATTTCCTTTATCTTAATAATAAAAAGATTTAATTACATTATATATCCCCAAACTATGACCCTCATTTCAAATTGGTTATTAAACTTTAAATATTCCAAACCACCTCCCAACTAAGACTATCATTTTAAACCAGTCCTTAAAATTTGAACATTCCAATTCCACCCCTCAAACTATGATTCTCATTCTAAATTGGTTCCTAAACTTTTGAATCTTCCAAATTGAAATTGAAATGTTCAACAAGTTTAGGGACCAATTTAAGATGAAGATTATAGTTTGGGGATGAAAATGAAATATTTAAAAGTTTAAGGATTAATTTAAAATAATAGTCATAATTTAGGAACCAATTTAAAATGATGATAAAAATTTAAGTACATATAATATAATTAACTCTAATAAAAAAATAGATATTAAAATCTATGAGACATAACTATCTTATTAAATATAATATATATTTTAAAAAATATTAAAATTTCACCAATAATCGGTTGGTCTACTGGGATGATGCATTATATCCTTTAAGTAAGGCAAGTGGTTTGAATTATAGCGTTTGCGAATGGAGCAAATTAGGTTGAGAGTAAGGGTGTAAATGAACATAGTGTTTGGTGAATTATTTGTGAACCGTTCGTAAAAAGTTCATTTATTAAGCTAAATAAAAAAGTATGGAAAAATATGTCCATTTTAATAAATGAATGAACATGATCAAAGGTTTGATTGGTTTGTTTATGTTCACGAACGAGCTCGTTTATAAGCTTGTTTATTGGCTTGTTCGTTTATGTTTATGAACAAACTCATTTAATGACTCATTTATTTTTTACATTTTAAATATTGATGAATGTAGGGACTAAATTGAACAGATGGTAAGATTTAGAGTTTAAACTATGAAGCTTAAGGAGTTTAAGCACTAGTAGTGTAATTTTTCCATTTTTACCTTGCAAATTAATATTATCTCGAAGTCTAAACGAACATGTTCATGAACACTAAACAAACAAACAAACATGGATATATTCAAAAATAAATAAACGAACACGATATTAAAAAGGTAAACGAACACGAACTGAACATGAACACCTTTAAAAATAAGCAAACGAACATCAACACAACCTTATTCGTTAAAGTTCAGTTCATTTACACTCCTAGTTGAGAGGGATATCATCGCCTTTGCAATACTCGATCTAAATCAATCAATTAATAAATCGAAAACTAATCGTTATAAAAAAATAAAAAGATTTTAAAATTTAAATTTAAGACTTCAGTTAAATTAAAATAACTCATTAATAAATTATGTTAATAAGTGCTACAAACTCTATTGATGAGCAGAAAAACATTCTCTCCATGGAATATTATAAATGAGTTAAAAAGTAAAAACTGGCATACAAAAAGGTTTAAATTGTTGTAAGAAGAGAAATGGATTAGTATTATTGGGGGGATGGTGTAGTGTCCATTAATGAGGGTTTAATTGCACACAAACAAGGGTGTGGTGATGGTTCATCTGACTCACATTAGGTGTGGACCCAATGGCTGTAGACTGCAACCCCTAGCCCCACCACTTCTCACATTCTCATCACACACCACATCTACCCCTTTCATGTTCCGTGCTAGCTTTTGGCTTCTTCTCTACTTGGCAATACCATTAATTCTACTTATTATTCCATAAATAAATCAATTTATTCAAGCTTCTTTTTAATTTCATGTTATTCGAGTTACTCGAGTAGACTAGAATTTAAAATTCAAGTTTAGTTTGAATTTAATAACTTCAAGTCAATTGAGAATTTAGTTTAGTAATTTGATTCTTTTATGATTCAATCTCTGATTTCATTATTCATTTAATGTTTATTTTCAATTCATATTTTATCAAATTTGAACCATATGATCTTAAATCATTGTAAAATATCCATGTATTCCTCTTTTTTGATGACCTTAACTTTGCATAATTTTCTTATTCTTTTCAATTGTTCATTCATTTTAGGTTTTTTTTAATCAAATTTGAACTACATACTCTAATGCCACTATAGAACACATATGTAATTTCAATTTCTATATTTAACTACAAATTTACTCTCTTTTTTAATTTAGTCTATTATCTTTGTATTTTATTCAATTTGATCTATTTATTTATTTATTACAAATCTTTTCTTCTCATTAAATTTTTTGACTCCCATATAATACGTTATAAATATATTTTATAATTTTAGATTGTATTTGATTTATTAAATAACATTACAATATGAAAAAAATGAATATATATAATATGGTTAGAGAAATTCAATAAATTTATATTAATATGTATCAGAATATTATAAATATTTATAATTAAATTTAAATAAAAATTTTAACATCTCGATTTGATTTAATATTTTTAAATAAAATATAACTTGCTAATTTATTTTTTACACTCAATTCAACTCAAATATTTACACCTACTTATTATATCAGAATATATAAGATATTGACATTTTTTTTATATCTCTCATTTCTATTTTATTTTTGGATAAAATACACAAATGGTCCGCCGACTATATGATATTATTTTATTGAGTCATTCGACTATTAAAAGCTACAAATGATCCTCTGATTGTAGTATGTTGATTTGTTGAGTCACTCGATCATTAAAAGTTACAAAATATTCATTTAACTATTTATATATTCCAAACTCGTCATTTTCTATTAAAAAAACTGATAATAGTTTGTGATAATCGTTTGAGATGTACGTTAACATGCTAACTGATATATAATAAAATCTGATCTCAGAATTGTTTGAATTGTAAGTCATTTTATATTATGAAATCAGATGTTATCATATTTCGGTTAGCAGTTTAATATCCAACTCAGACGACTATCAATTTTCTAACAGAAAATGACAAGTTTAAAACATATGAATAGTCGGGTGACCATTTTATACCTTTTAATAGTTAAAGGACTAAACAAAATAACACCCTATAATTAATAAATTATTTTGTAAATTTTAATAGTAGAAATACTTAACAAATCAATAAATTTATATACATTACTTATTTTTTATTTTATGATTGAGGATTATGATTGTTTTTCTCATTATTAATACCTCCTAATCATATAATTCCATCGCTCCCCCCCCCCAAGTCCTTTCTTTCTTTCTTTCTCTGATCATTCTTCTTCTCCAATTCCTTTCTCTCCCATGGTTCCACTTTTCTCACCATGCCTTCTCAGTCCAACTTCTCCCTTTCAAGGTTTCACCCTCTTCTATTTTCTTTCAAAGTAATCACCGATTAATGTATAATGGTTTCATTGTATTATAACTCTGTTGTAACAGGTGGTTTGGACTTTGTCAGCAACGGAACACAATCCCAGATAATTCTAACCATGGCGGCGGCGGAGGTGGTGACATCAACGAAGAAAACCCAGTTCCCTACACTATAGAATGCTACGCTTGCACTCAAGTCGGTGTTCCAGTTTTCCACTCCACCAGCTGCGACCAAGCTCATCCGCCCGAATGGGAAGCCTCCGCCGGCTCCTCCCTCGTTCCCATTCAGGCTCGTACGAGGGCAGGTCAGAAGAAGGCTCAACAAGCCGCATCCGCCAATACCCGGCGACCTTATGGTCCGTTTGGACGGGTTCTTGATCCGAGAACGAAGCGGGTGCAGAACTGGAACCGGTTTTTTCTATTGGCTCGTGGAATGGCCTTAGCCATTGATCCTTTGTTCTTTTATGCTTTGTCGATAGGGAGAGGCGGTTCGCCGTGTCTATACATGGATGGAGGGCTGGCCGCCATAGTAACCGTCCTTCGCACGTGTGTGGACGCGGTGCATTTGTTCCATATCTGGCTTCAGTTCAGGCTGGCGTACGTGTCAAGGGAGTCGCTCGTCGTGGGTTGCGGTAAACTCGTGTGGGACGCGCGTGCCGTCGCCTCTCATTACCTTCGTTCCCTCAAAGGTTTCTGGTTTGATGCCTTTGTCATTCTGCCAGTTCCTCAGGTCACTTTTTAGTACTTTTTTTATTTTAATTTCTTTTATATGTATTTTCCAAATATAACACAAATGGTCATCGATAATAGGGTGTTGATCTATCAAATATTTGACTATTAAAAGTTATAAAATGGTTACACGACTATTTATATATTTTAAACTCGTCATTTTTTCTTTAAAAAATGACAATAGTCTGAGCTAGACTTTATTCTATTGACTGAAATATGTTAAAATATGATCTCAATATCTCAAACAACTATCATATCTCACTCAGCATGTTAAGGTCCAGTTCAGATGGTCGCTAATATTTTACAGAAAAATGACGAGTTTAGAACATATAAATATTAGTGTGACCATTTTATAACTTTTAATAGTCGATGAACTTAACAAAACAAAATCATATAAACAGATAATCATTTTGTAACTTTTAATAATCAGAATACTCAATAAAATGGTACCCTAAAATTGGGGTACCATTTGTATACTTTACCCTTATTTTTTATATTCTGAACAGGTAAATTTGAATTTTGGGCATAAAGAGAAACTTTTTGAATTTTTAAAAATTTGACTAAAATATTATAATTTTATTTTGTTTCCAAAAATCAAATAGAAATATATATTCTGATATTTATATTTAATTTTAAGGTTTAATTGTGGTAAAATTTTGTTTAGTTTAATTAAATACTTAAATTTAATTTTAAGGTTTAATTTAGTATTTAATTTTTTAGTTCATTAATTATTTGAATTTAATTTCATAATAGAAATTAATACTTACATTAAATATCTTATTTCAACTATGTGATTTTCCGTATCATTTGAATTAAAATGTATATTGGACAAAAGAATGTACGTACTAAAATGTATATTTACTCAACTCTCTAAAGTTTTTTGCCTGGGGCAGGAAAGAACCATAACTGTCAAAGACATGTGCAATATAATCATGCAAAAGATGGTTGAAATTTTGGATTTTTGCACCTCTGATTGAGTTAGGCTAAATTATTACTCTCTCTCTCTCTACCATAGGTGCCAAATTATCATAATTCATCCTATGTTTGAGTCATATTTTGTGTAATTAAATTAATAATTTCAAAAAAAATTTACAAGCATGGAACTTTAATAGTTAAGAAATTATTGCTATTTCTTGAGGTCTTTGATTTAAACATCACATATAGAAGTATATGAGCGTTTAATATCAAATATTTGATAGTCTTTAAACATATACTATCTACTATTCACCTCATATTAATAAAAAAAAAGAAATTACAATATATATATATATATATTAATTAGATTAAAGTCCAAAATATGAATAATGCAAAGTGGGTGCCACAAACCCCAGAAATAGATAATGTGTTTTGGTCTTTTTTGAATCTTACTTTTCAGTCTTTTTCTTTCTTGTGTTTGTTCTTCAACTCTCTCTCTCTAGTATGGAGTTTCCATAATGAACATAAAGCTAGTAGGCCTTTCTTTCCCCTATTGGACAATGAGATTGTTGACAATTACTTTGGTTGCTTCATAGAAACTGGATGTGGTGTTCATCTTGCATCGTTACAAACAATCTTGTTGGATATTTTGCCTACCTGTTTGCTTGTCTTTTGTTTTGTACTTACAAAACCCTCATTGCCTTTAATTTATGACCTACTCTTCATTTAAAACAATCTAATTATTGTGAAATAATTCCAGTGCTTGTACAACTTCAGTAGCATGATTTTTTGATGTTACGTGACACCAAACCTGTGTTCAAAAACGAATCAAAATGTGAAACTTTCGAATCAAAACGAATAATATCTTACATAATTACCGAGAATATTATGTGTTTTTTCTTCTGTTTTGAATATCTTGTATTGGAACATGTTATCAGTCAGCATTTTTTTTGCAGGCTGTATTTTGGTTAGTTGTACCAAAATTAATAAGGGAAGAGAAGATCAAGCTTATAATGACCATAATGTTGTTAATCTTCTTGTTCCAATTCCTCCCAAAGGTTTACCACAGCATTTGCTTAATGAGAAGGATGCAAAAGGTCACTGGTTACATCTTTGGCACCATTTGGTGGGGTTTTGGCCTTAACCTCATTGCCTACTTCATTGCCTCTCATGTAAGTCTTACCGATGAGCTGCATTCTCGCACAAGTTGTAACGACCAAGCTCTCGCATCGTCTTACGCATCGGGATTTGGTTGTTGCTCCCATGTGCCTTAGAACTCGGTCGTTACTCGTTACAACAAACATTTGCTCTTGTTCTTCTTTTTTCTATGTTGAATACTTGATATTGGAAATTGATGACTTTGAGCTGTGGTCCAGGTTGCTGGAGGGTGCTGGTATGTCCTTGCGATACAGAGGGTTGCCTCGTGTCTCAGGCAACAATGCGCAAGAAACACTCAGTGCAACCTCTCGTTGTCGTGCTCAGAGGAGGTGTGCTACCAGTTTTTATTTCCTGCTGAAACGGTCGGGAATTCTTGCGGTGGTAACTCAACCAAAGTTGTGCGGAAACCTTTATGTTTAGATGTTCATGGACCATTCAATTATGGGATTTATCAGTTGGCCCTCCCTGTTGTTTCTAGTAACTCTGTCGCTGTTAAGATCCTTTATCCCATATTTTGGGGATTAATGACTCTCAGGTAAATCACAACATGAAATTGTTAGCTTCGACTCTATCGCATTAGACGACGCGTACCTATACTCGATACTCACACCGTGCTTTCATTTGCAGCACCTTTGGGAATGATCTTGAGCCAACAAGTCACTGGTTAGAAGTGATGTTCAGTATCTTCATTGTGCTTGCTGGACTGATGCTCTTCACTCTACTGATTGGAAACATCCAGGTGAGAAATTTGATTTGTTCGGATTCGGATATTTTACAAAATCGGAACTAAACTGTTATCACCCTAGTGAGCATTAAGTTATTTTTACAGATTGTTGAATGTTGTTCAACTTTCCATAGCGAAGTTAACTGACAATTGGATCCTGCATTTATATTTATCAAGGTTTTCTTGCATGCTGTAATGGCCAAAAAAAGAAAAATGCAGCTAAGATGTCGAGATATGGAATGGTGGATGAAACGCCGGCAGTTACCATCACGTTTGAGACAACGAGTCCGTCACTTCGAACGTAAAAAATGGACAATATCGGGTGGAGAAGACGAAATGGAACTGATAAAAGACTTACCCGAAGGCCTCCGGAGAGACATTAAGCGCTATCTTTGCCTTGACCTTATCAAGAAGGTATCAACATAATTGAAACTTTAATATTGCATTGTAACTGGACCCTTAGATAAATCTTCGAGACATTGATTCGAGGGTTTTGTGCGACGAGTCTAATTCGGTTGCAATCTCATTCACTGCAGGTTCCTTTGTTTCAGAACTTGGATGATCTTATTCTCGATAACATCTGCGATCGAGTTAAGCCACTTGTATTCTCTAAAGACGAAAAGGTTCGATTATGAAGTTTAAACTAGAACCTACCATGTTGAACACGCTATTCTAAATTTGTTAAACTTGTAAACTATTCACATGAAACAGATAATCAGAGAAGGAGATCCAGTGCAGAGAATGGTGTTTATTGTTCACGGACGTATAAGACGTAACCAAAGCCTCAGCAAAGGCATGATCGCCACGAGTTTTATCGAGCCAGGAGGCTTCCTGGGTGATGAATTGTTGTCATGGTGTCTTCGCAGACCATTTATGGATCGTCTTCCTGCCTCGTCTGCAACATTCGTTTGCATAGAATCGATTGAAGCGTTTGGCCTCGAGGCAAACCATCTCAAATACATCACGGATCACTTCAGGTACAAGTTTGCCAATGAGAGGCTTAAGAGAACAGCTCGATACTATTCATCGAATTGGCGAACGTGGGCAGCCGTGAACATACAACTCGGTTGGCGGCGTTACAGAAGGAGGACTCGAGGTCTGATAGTTTCTGTTGCCGAAAATGGAAACAGCAGGGACCGCCGATTGCTACAATATGCTGCCATGTTTATGTCAATAAGGCCACATGATCATCTAGAATAAAAGAAAAGCCAATAGCCTTATGCAATTCTTTTGCTCATTATGTAATCCGTGTCATCTAATAAAGTTCTATGTTCCCCATGGAAACATTTGAACATTGTTCTTTACCAATTCTATATTTGATAAGTTGATTTCATCACATCTCCTCAAAGTATAATCTTCATTTTAAAGTCTCTAAACTTTTAAATGTTTTAATTTTATCCTTAAACCATGACTATCATTCTAAATTATTCCTTAAACTTTTGAATATTTCAATTTCATCCCCAAACTATGACCTTCATTCTAAATCAGTCCGCAAACTTTTTGAACATTCCAATTTTATCCCAAATTATATGTATATACTAACCGCATCCATTGTTAATAAAATCGATAGGTCAAGTTATATTATTATATGTTTGAAAAAAATTAGGTTAAACTATGGTTGAAACTAATTACATATTTGGATGAATTTGGGGATGAAATTGGAAGATTCAAAAGTTTGTGGACTAATTTAGAGAGAGGGTCATAGTTTAAGGATGAAATTAGATTGTTCAAAAGTTTAATGACTAATTTAAAATGAGAGTTATAGATGAAATTGAAATATTCAAAAGTTTAAAGACTTATTCAAAAGTTTAAAGACCGATTTAAAATAAAGGTCATAGGACATATGGTAGTATGATACAATTAACCCATTCTTGATCTACTTGAATCGAAACATTTTTTTTATAAATAGGAATAAATTTGATTGTATCAGCAAATGAATCACAAAAGGGAATAAAATTATTGAAAGACCACCGACATACCACAAATCATAATCCAACGATGTGAAAATACTATCCACAAACGCAAATCACGTATCCAAATTCAATCTGAAGGTCCATAGCAGAGAAAGTCATCTGTTATGGTTTAAGTCGATTAGAAGAGAAATAGAGAGAATTTTAGAAAGAATTAAGAGAGAAATAGCTAGTTCATTCATAACATCCCATTCAGATTGATTCTACAGCATTTTATTTAGTTACAGGGCTCCAATTGTCATTTAATAATGAGCCAACTGTCTGTACTATTAACAACCTATAACATACTAATATTCTTCTCTCCTTGCAGGTTGTTGGGCCACCAAGCTGGGCTGCTTCACTTTTCCCGTATGAAGACTTGGGCCGACCCACTTCTGCCAGCACCCTTATCAGGTAACTTCTCTTCATCAGGTAAACGCTTCAATTCTTTTTCTCCTCTTCCAATCCCTAAATTCCCTTTTTCAATTCCCTCTCGAGCCTCAATCCCTAACCCTAGATCGTTGTTTCCCCCAATTGTTTCCCCAATTTCTTCCTCTCTTCCCCGTTCATCTCCTCGTTCCTCTCCTCCAACTGTAACAATACCCGCCGCTAGAAAGGATCCTTGTCCCCAAGGATCAAATTCAGGAAATTGGCCTCGAAGAACCGTATAATCTTCCCATGTATCACTGGTTTCATCAAGGTTCTTCCAGCGCACTAGCCACTGTGTTACAGGTTTGTTTTGTCTATTTATGATTCTTCTTCCCATAATCTTATATGGCTCGATTTTAATCTGTCCGTCATCGTCCATGGCAGGGGGTTCCTTGAAGAGACAATTGAATCCCCGACGTGCTTCTTCAGGAGGCTCACGTGAAAGACATGATGTAATCTAGAAGAGTCTGGTAAGTCTAACTTATACGCAACTTCACTAATCTTCTCAATAACTTTATAAGGGCCGTAGAACTTAGCTGCTAACTTTAAATTCTTGCGCAGGGCCAACGAAGTCTGACGGTAAGGTTGCAATTTCAGGTAAACCGAATCTCCAACTGCAAATACTCTTTCTGTTCTTTTCTTGTCTGTTTGTTGTTTCATTCTATTACTTGCATGTTCAAGTTATAGCTTCACTAACTGTCTGATATCTTCTCTACTTCTCATTAAGTCATTAACAGACTGCACATTAGTTTCTACTTGCCAAACCATAGTAAGAGGCTTGTAGCCATACAATGCCTCAAATGGTGTAAGCTTAAGGGCAGTGTGGTAGGTAGTATTATACCACCACTCTGCATGTGGCAGCCATTTAGCCCACTGCTTCGGCTGAAAAAAACATAAACCCCTCAAATATTGTTCCACACACTGATTCACCCTTTCTGTCTGACCATCAGTCTCTGGATGGTATGCAGTACTAAATAGAGTTTTAGTGCCCAGTTGCCTCATCAGTTCTCTCCAAAAGAGACTGGTAAATGTCTTGTCTCTGTCAGAAATGGCCATTTTAGGCTGGCCATGAAGTTTATAAACAGTATCCAAATACAATCTGGCTATATCAGTAGCTGTATAAGGATGTGATAAGGCTAGGAAGTGGCTGTACTTAGTAAATTTATCAACTATCACCAAAATGCAATTTTTCTTCTAGGATGTAGGCAAGCCTTCTATGAAGTCCATAGTAATAATCTCCCAAGCCTGTTGAGGAATAGGCAATGGTTGTAGGAGCCCTGGTTTAGGAATATGTTCTACTTTAGTCTGTTGACAAACTGTACATCCTCTAATATAATTTGCCACCATAGCCTTTAACTTAGGCCAATAAAAATTAGCCTTAATCCTTTGATAAGTAGCATGTGTTCCATAATGTCCCCCATGAGGTGAATCATGTAAGAGTTGAAGAATTTGTAATCTTAATGTTCCAGTACCTCCAATATATACTTTGCCCTTGAATCTAAGAATACCCTTAGAGTATGTCCAGCAAGGGTTAGCAGTAGGACTTACTGGTAATATAGATAACCAGTCAGTTGCCATTTTATCCCCTTTATAGCTGTCTTCCACTTCTTGCACCCAACTAAGAATGATTAGGGTAGTACCCATAGCCATATACTGACCTTGATCTTCCCACTGTCTAGAAAGGGCATCAGCAACGACATTTGACTTACCCTTCCTATACTGAATAGAACAGTCGAGCCCCAATAATTTAGTCAGCCCTTTCTTCTGGATGGCAGTAGTTAATTTCTGCTCTAGCAAATATTTTAAAGGTTCATGGTCAGTTTTGATGATAAAAGGATTGCTTTCTAAATAATGCCTCCATTTAGATACTGCCATTAGAATAGCAAGATATTCTCTCTCATATATAGATAGGGCAGTATGTCTAGGGCTAAGAGCTTTACTAAGGTAGGCAATAGGTCTACCATCCTGAGATAAGACAGCCCCAATTCCTCCTGAACTGGCATCTGTTTCTAAATAAAAACTCTTCCCAAAATCTGGTAATGCTAGCACAGGGGCAACACACATAACATACTTCAGATTTTCAAAAGCAGTTAAAGCCTCAGTACTCCAATGAAAATTGTCTTTCTTAAGCATTTGAGTCAAAGGTTTACTGATGGTACCATAATTCTTAATAAACCTTCTGTAATAACCAGTCAATCCCAAAAAACCTCTCAAAGATTTTAAAGATTTTGGCACAGGCCAATTCTTCATAGCTGCTACTTTAGTAGGATCAGTAAAAACCCCAGAAGCTGAAATAATATGTCCCAAGTACTCAACTTGAGTCTTGAACTCGTAATGGCCTTGATGAGTTCTGAAAGCTGTCTTATAGATATCCGCAGGCTTAATTCTGATCTGCCAATAACCAGACCTTAAGTCAATTTTAGAAAAATAAACTGCTCCACATAATTCATCCAGTAGATCTTCCACAACAGGAATAGGAAATTTGTCCTTCACTGTCATACTGTTTAGTTTCCTGTAATCAACACAAAACCTCCAGGTACCATCATTTTTCTTAATTAAAAGACATGGAGAAGCAAAAGGACTTTTGCTTGGTTGAATCACAAAGGAGGAAAGCATATTAGCAATCTGCTTCTCTATCTCAGCTTTCTGAATATAGGGAAATCTGTAGGGTCTTAAGTTGATTGGGGCAGCTTCAGGTTTAAGAGGAATTGCATGGTCATGATTTCTTGTAGGAGGCAGTCCTGTAGGTTCAGCAAAAATAACTTGATATTGGTCCAGAAGAGACTGGATAGCTGTAGGAGTAGTCTTGGAATCTTCACACATATTGAATAACACTACATGTCCCAAAAGAGGAGAATCAGAAACTGTCATCTTCAATAGGGTAGCTCCTGAAATCTGCTGTAAGAAATTTGACTGTTGTTGACCTTGTATAGTGATTTGCTTCCCCTTATGCACAAAGCTCATTGTCATTTTATTAAAGTCCATCAATATTGGACTAAACAATCTCATCCAATCCACCCCTAACACCATATCACTGCCCCCCAATTGAAGTAGTCTGAAATCATGTATAAAAGAGTGCCCTTGCATCCTCCATTCCACTTCATTACACCTTGCTGAACTGTAGAGTTGCTGCCCATTAGCTACTGTAATAGCTAGAGGATGAAGAGTATTTATCTGTATGCCAACCTCAGCCCATTGAGGTGTTAAAAAACTGTAGGTACTCCCACTGTCAATTAGTATATTCAATGGTCTTCCCTGAATTGTTCCCTGAATCCTCAATGTATTATGACCAATACATCCAGTAATGGCATTCATAGATATTTCTAGATTCTCTCCCTCCTGTAAATTCTGCTGTTCTGGATCATTAGATAAAATTTCTGAAGGTAAGACACTTTCATCTTCAATCATCATATTCAACTGTTTTGTTTTACACTGATGGCCTGGAACAAACTTTTCACCACACTTAAAGCATAAATTGTTCTGTCTCCTGTAGTCTATCAGGTTCTGTTTTTGTGTTGTAGTGGATGTATTCTTCAGTGGTAGTGTTAGCTGATTAGGCTTAGAACCAGGTAGAGGAATTGAATGAGCTGGATTTTTTACAAAAGGTTTGAACCTCTTACTCTCAAATTCCACAGAGAGCTCATATAATTTAGCTTGCCTGCTTGCCTCAGACAATGTTTTAGGGTCTAGAGCTTTAACTCTGTGTTTAATGTCATCCCTTAGTCCACTAATAAACAAAGAGACAAAAAATTCTTCACCTAAAGTAGGATTCTGCAGAAGCATATGAGGTTGTAGTTCTTCAAATCTATCCTGATATTCTTCTACAGACCCTTTTTGGACCAGTTTTGTAAATTCCTCCACTATATCAACAAAGGCTTTATCACAAAACCTATGACATAAATCAGCCTCAAACTCATGCCAAGTCACATGATGTTTTTGCATAATATACCCATCAAACCAAATCTCTGCTTTACCTGTCAGGTACATTGTAGCTACTTCCACCTTCTGTTCATCAGCAATACTACATAATGAAAAATATTTTTGACATTTTTGTAACCAACCTCTGGGATTACTTCCATCAAAAAATGGTAGCTCAATTTTTGGTCTATGCAACATAATCCCTGACATACTAGAAGTGTAACACCCCCAACCCGTATCCGACCCGGATACGAGTCCGAAGTGTCACATTGACTTTTCAAACATTTATTCGTATAAAATAGTGAGTAATTTAAAAACTTTGATAACATTTAAATTATTTCAAAACGTTTACAAAATATATCAGAGTTCATACAATTTTTATCTTTAGACTACATGCCAACTACACTCTATATACAATACATATATTTTCTGATCTGACATTTGGTAAGAAGAACTGACCTGTCTTGCTCCCTCTTTATTTCTCTTTTCGCTTTCCATACCTACGTGTGAAACAATCACACGCTAAGTCGATGACTTAGTGAGGCATATAAAACATATAATATTTCATATAACATAAATCATACATAAACATATACCATCATTATCATTAAGAAACACACATAACATCATATGGTTCACGTAACACATTTCAAACCACTTATAAACCCATCGTATACATATCACATTCAGTATGCTTGTTTAATCACTTTATTAGCCCATGTACACTAGTGAGAACTTAAGGTATGTGAGTACATTGAGGTTGTGCACACATATGCTGTCACCACAGCTCGATCAATGTCCCGAAGGACCAGTCCATAGATTCCGAAGAACCTAGGTAAACAGTCCATATGTCCCGAAGAACATAGGTAAACAGTCCATATGTCCCGAAGAACATAGGTAAACAGTCTATATGTCCCGAAGAACATAGGTAAACAGTCCATATGTCCCGAAGAACATAGGTAAACAGTCCATATGTCCCGAAGAACATAGGTAACCCTCGACCCTTGGCATGCCAACTATACCCCTAGCTCTCATATCACATAACATGGGCATTATCATTTATGACCGTTCACATTACTTATTCATATTCTTTCTCTTATAAACACATATCTTTTCTTTTCAGTCACGTATCACATGTACGTGTAATCCTTGATATCATAATCACATGTTCCTTCTCTTCTATCACATATCAAATGTATGTGTAAGCACATATCTAATATCATATGTTGCATTTTCATGTAAGCATGTAAATCATGTAACATATAAACATACATCCATTTCTATGTACTAATGCACACAGAGTAATCACATAACATTATATAATTTACCTCTTACCATAGTAACTCTATCATTGACTCATCGCAAGCCAATGTTTGATCAATCACATAAGTACAATTTAAATTGCACTCACCTGGCCTCACTAGTCCCTTTCAATCTCTTATCTTCCCTTTTTATCGATCTTACTTGTCAATGATTCCGGAACTCGTTTAGGCTTTGAATCTACATAATTATACATTTTAAGACAATTATTAGATACCCACACCTTTTAATTGTATACTAGCAACTTAAACGAACTTATTAAACCAATATTAACATTTTCCTTTAGGGGGGAATCGATTCCCTCCTGTGGGGGTATCGGTTCCCCTCTGGCATTCTGGAATTCTGTCGTTTGAAGGGGTATCGGTTCCCCTTGAATGGGTACCGATTCCCCTTGCCTAGAAATCATATTTTTAGCTCGAAAATCACTTCAATTTCTCTCAAACACTTCATATATCATCCCATTTTCATTCTTAACTCTAGTACACATACTTAAACCAATCTATATTCATTTATTTCATCTTAAACCTTAGAATTCTATTCTCCATATAGAATTCAATAATCATATCAAATTTTTCATGTTATTCAAACATAATTCTAACACTTCTAACTTCTTAATCTCATAGATGACAAGTCAAATTCAACTTAAAATTCAACTTATCAATTCTATTTCAAGATTTGATTCAAGAACTCAAAATCTTTAATCTCTCATATACCTTTCATCTTGTTGTTTTAGAACAAATTAAGCTTTCCTTAAGCTTAATTATCATCTAATAATCAAAACCCAACCTTGAATTGAACAAATAATCAACTAATGAAGAAACTTACCTTTGCCCTTGCTCTTACGGGAGGGGAAGAGAAAGGAATAAGAAGATGAAATGCTTTCATCTTCTCATGTTTTTATCTCTTAATAAAGGGATAAAAATATCTTTCATGACAAATTACCCTTTTGCCCTTTAATTCTTTAGATAATTACTAACAACTTTCAGGAAATATCCTCAAATAAATCATTGAACTATTCAAGTATTCTACTTTTATTATCAAATTCTGAAATTTACGATTTAGTCACTAACCCGTAGTTTGGGATGTTACAAATCTCCCCTCCTTTTAATAAAAATTCGTCCTCGAATTTTCATTGCACACACTGATAAGAATATATCTTTGTTAAGCAGTTTCACTTATACAGAACCTCATTCTTTACCATCTCTTGTACTTTGTATTCTTTTTCCTCAAAGCTCCCTTTAAAACTTGTAAATACTCTTCTCTTTGTCTTCATCATATCAATATGATCCAAATATCTAACCATATTCAAATCCAGATCATACTTGATTAACTCACTTTATCTTTTCTTCCAATCTTATAACTCTATCACCTTTACTATCACAGTTAGTAAATATCAACTGTTCAATCTAGGGCACGAGCCCTAATTAATTAATCATATATTTTTTTCCCAACCATAATTATCTCAATAATAGTTTACTTAACTTGTCAAATCCATATTCATTCTTAAACTTTTCTATTACTCTTTCTTATACACAATATTATTTACACGTCTACTATTCCTTTTTACATATCATCTCTTCAATAAATCTTTCGTGCTATCATAAACTTCACTTCATTACTTTAATTCTTTCATTACATTTTTCCTTATGCTTTTACATTCCTTTCATATCATTTATACTTTTCCTTCTTTATCCTTTTCAACTTTTCTATCAATCCTTAGTTTCCGTCAAACATACAAATCCTTTAACTTAATACGCTCACTATCACACTACTTTATTATTCAACTAATTTCTTTCAATCAAAACATAAACCTTCATCAAACTATCCATATATTTATTATTCTCAATCAAAATAATTCATTCTCTATTTCCTTCACTTATCAAACCTTAATTCTCATTTGTCCATAATATAATTCCTTTGGTTCGAATTCAACCATTCCATTTACCTTTGTCTTATACATAACTAAACCATATCATGTCCTTCATACTCTCATGCTATTTTATATCACATATATTTATCCTTAACTATCACTCCTTATCACATTTTCATGACTTTGATAGTCAACTTTACTTGCACAAAACCTTATTCTTTATCATTCTTATACTTATGTTTTCTCCACTTGTTTCAACAATCACCAGATTTCAATACTCATCTAATCCATTTCAAATACTTTTTCTGCTTCGATTTACATAACTTCTAACAGGGCTTTTAACCCAATTCACAAAGGTTGTCTTTAACCTTGACTTATTATCAATTAACTCATTGATTAATCTTCCAATATCATACCCTACTGCTTTAGTCTGACTGACTCTCATCTAATTCGATTCTCTGACAGAGAATACAACTAATTCATATCGGGTTTAAAGTTGAAAATCAGAATCTCTATCTTTCTTTAATGGTGCTTAACTATATAAAGCACTAATTCTCTTAATCATATGAGATTTTTGTTCTCCAATCTCTTCATTCTGAGCTCTTTATAAAACTTTAACGCGATTAATAATTTCTTGAAATAAGAAAAATTTCGAAACCAGTAACACTCTTTTAATTTAAGGCGCAAGCCCTAAACAACCAATCATATGTTCTTACTTATCCTTTCTAATCAAAATCAACTCAACAATAAATCTGTTTAACTTATTAAACTTATACTCATACACATGCACGTATAATTCCCTTGCTTCAAGCTCATATATTCGAGCTTATTTGTTTTATGAACTGATCATTCATGTACTTATTCTTGAACTCTTCTACAAATGATAACCACATCACTTGATCTTTTAACATTCTTATGGTGACATTTGTTCACCATACTTTAGCTTGACCACATAGTAACGAAACTACTCAATTTAACTTCTCCACTTTGGAGAAATGACAATCTTCTAACATTATCTTCCTACCATTTGATCAATTTTCCGCAACAATGGAACATTTCTCACATTCACCCTTGAACTCGGGTGTTCTCAACTCTTTTCAATACATTCATTCTATGAATTATTGAAGTATAAAATTAAAATATATCATAATATCATTCCATATCATGAAACATTCTCTAATCTTGTACAGGCACGCCCTGAGGTTTTTCGCTCTTCTCCCTGCCTGGCCAGGGCAGGTGAATGCTATTACCTGCAGTCTATTGCCTTGTGCTTCACTTTAGAAGCTCTCATATATTCATGTACTAATATCATTTCTTCTATCACATATAACATGTGCATATGATCATCCAATTCATATAATTTAACATATGTCATTTGCATATGTTCACATATCATCTATCACATAAACATATATATCTCATAAATCATCATCATGTATTCACTTATCTTATATAACATAACAATTTAACTCTATTTACAAGACAGTATACTCCTTACACTATCAGATCAGAAAATTTTTCACTTTATGTTGGCATGTATACTTTTTAAAGCACTTTTGACTTCATTTTTAGCCTAGAATCGGCTAAACCGTAGCTCTGATACCATTAAATGTAACACCCCCAACCCGTATCCGACCCGGATACGAGTCCGAAGTGTCACATTGACTTTTCAAACATTTATTCGTATAAAATAGTGAGTAATTTAAAAACTTTGATAACATTTAAATTATTTCAAAACGTTTACAAAATATATCAGAGTTCATACAATTTTTATCTTTAGACTACATGCCAACTACACTCTATATACAATACATATATTTTCTGATCTGACATTTGGTAAGAAGAACTGACCTGTCTTGCTCCCTCTTTATTTCTCTTTTCGCTTTCCATACCTACGTGTGAAACAATCACACGCTAAGTCGATGACTTAGTGAGGCATATAAAACATATAATATTTCATATAACATAAATCATACATAAACATATACCATCATTATCATTAAGAAACACACATAACATCATATGGTTCACGTAACACATTTCAAACCACTTATAAACCCATCGTATACATATCACATTCAGTATGCTTGTTTAATCACTTTATTAGCCCATGTACACTAGTGAGAACTTAAGGTATGTGAGTACATTGAGGTTGTGCACACATATGCTGTCACCACAGCTCGATCAATGTCCCGAAGGACCAGTCCATAGATTCCGAAGAACCTAGGTAAACAGTCCATATGTCCCGAAGAACATAGGTAAACAGTCCATATGTCCCGAAGAACATAGGTAAACAGTCCATATGTCCCGAAGAACATAGGTAAACAGTCCATATGTCCCGAAGAACATAGGTAACCCTCGACCCTTGGCATGCCAACTATACCCCTAGCTCTCATATCACATAACATGGGCATTATCATTTATGACCGTTCACATTACTTATTCATATTCTTTCTCTTATAAACACATATCTTTTCTTTTCAGTCACGTATCACATGTACGTGTAATCCTTGATATCATAATCACATGTTCCTTCTCTTCTATCACATATCAAATGTATGTGTAAGCACATATCTAATATCATATGTTGCATTTTCATGTAAGCATGTAAATCATGTAACATATAAACATACATCCATTTCTATGTACTAATGCACACAGAGTAATCACATAACATTATATAATTTACCTCTTACCATAGTAACTCTATCATTGACTCATCGCAAGCCAATGTTTGATCAATCACATAAGTACAATTTAAATTGCACTCACCTGGCCTCACTAGTCCCTTTCAATCTCTTATCTTCCCTTTTTATCGATCTTACTTGTCAATGATTCCGGAACTCGTTTAGGCTTTGAATCTACATAATTATACATTTTAAGACAATTATTAGATACCCACACCTTTTAATTGTATACTAGCAACTTAAACGAACTTATTAAACCAATATTAACATTTTCCTTTAGGGGGGAATCGATTCCCTCCTGTGGGGGTATCGGTTCCCCTCTGGCATTCTGGAATTCTGTCGTTTGAAGGGGTATCGGTTCCCCTTGAATGGGTACCGATTCCCCTTGCCCAGAAATCATATTTTTAGCTCGAAAATCACTTCAATTTCTCTCAAACACTTCATATATCATCCCCTTTTCATTCTTAACTCTAGTACACATACTTAAACCAATCTATATTCATTTATTTCATCTTAAACCTTAGAATTCTATTCTCCATATATAATTCAATAATCATATCAAATTTTTCATGTTATTCAAACATAATTCTAACACTTCTAACTTCTTAATCTCATAGATGACAAGTCAAATTCAACTTAAAATTCAACTTATCAATTCTATTTCAAGATTTGATTCAAGAACTCAAAATCTTTAATCTCTCATATACCTTTCATCTTGTTGTTTTAGAACAAATTAAGCTTTCCTTAAGCTTAATTATCATCTAATAATCAAAACCCAACCTTGAATTGAACAAATAATCAACTAATGAAGAAACTTACCTTTGCCCTTGCTCTTACGGGAGGGGAAGAGAAAGGAATAAGAAGATGAAATGCTTTCATCTTCTCATGTTTTTATCTCTTAATAAAGGGATAAAAATATCTTTCATGACAAATTACCCTTTTGCCCTTTAATTCTTTAGATAATTACTAACAACTTTCAGGAAATATCCTCAAATAAATCATTGAACTATTCAAGTATTCTACTTTTATTATCAAATTCTGAAATTTACGATTTAGTCACTAACCCGTAGTTTGGGATGTTACAAGAAGACCCTCCTGTACCTCTTTTATCCACTTCTAAAGCCACTAACTGAGTTCTAGCAGCACTGTTCTCCCCCGTTTGGTTATCATTTTTGCAGCTAGCTATATGAGCAGGCAAGACATTTGGTTTAGACTTAAGAATACCAGGCTCATCCGGTTTATAAGTAAATCGAGTCTTATCATTGATTACTGTCACCTTAACAGGTTGTTTGTTACTCATATTGAATGAATCAAGGGTATGTACCTGATCCTCAAACTGATTTTGGTCCTCTTTTCTGCCAGTCAAAATCTTCAAGATTTCCTCCACATATCCATGATTTGTAGCCAATCTAGACTCCAGTGTAGAAATCCTCTCTTCCTGAGTCTCCCACCATTTAGGTGGATTAGACTCATCTCGTCCTTGTTTCACCAGTACTGTCAGTTCTTTCATCTGCTTCTGCAACCCAGCTAATTCTTCTGCCATATTCTGATTTTTCTTAGGCATACCACCAACTTGCCAGAAACCGAGGCTCTCGATACCAATTTGTTATGGTTTAAGTCGATTAGAAGAGAAATAGAGGAATAGATAAGAGAAATAGAGAGAATTTTAGAAAGAATTAAGAGAGGAATAGCTAGTTCATTCATAACATCCCATTCAGATTGATTCTACAACATTTTATTTAGTTACAGGGCTCCAATTGTCATTTAATAATGAGCCAGCTGTCTGTACTATTAACAACCTATAACAGACTAATATTCTTCTCTCCTTGCAGGTTGTTGGGCCACCAAGCTGGGCTGCTTCACTTTTCCCGTATGAAGACTTGGGCCGACCCACTTCTACCAGCACCCTTATCAGGTAACTTCTCTTCATCAGGTAAACGCTTCAATTCTTTTTCTCCTCTTCCAATCCCTAAATTCCCTTTTTCAATTCCCTCTCGAGCCTCAATCCCTAACCCTAGATCATTGTTTCCCCCAATTGTTTCCCCAATTTCTTCCTCTCTTCCCCGTTCATCTCCTCCAACTGTAACATCATCATGATAACAAATAAACGCTGTCTTGATCAGTCGTGACAATGTCAAATTCAACCCTGAAAAAATAAACGAAAACAACATTCAAACAACCGAAATCGTACTATAGAGACAGAAAAAAATGTGACAAAAAAGTAGAAGAATACGTGCTAAAAACGGGAGAATCTATTCTTTAGATACTTTAAATACTTGAATTGAAACTTAGATCTAATTTTCAATAAAAAAATAATAATCGAAACTTAGATTTAGGGTGCTCAATCAATTAATCTAAAAGTCATTTTTTTTTGCTTTAAGTATTACTTGAACCGAACTTTTTTTAAGAATATTAACCATACCAAATAGAGTTAGATTAATTTAAATTTAATAGAGGTATTTTTATCTAAGTTAATTTTAATTAAGTTTTAATAATTTAATGGGTCTAATATGATTAAAAAAAGCGAGTCTTAATGAGATTAAACTTATTTAATGTATATAATATTTAATGTTTTTGATTAATTCAGTTAAACGAATTAATCTTAACTGAATTGTGAAAAAAATTAACCATTAACCGATAGTCGACTGTTTTAATCAGATTAATTCGATTTGATTGGTTAATTTCGTCAAAACCAAAAAATGAATACCCCTAACCGAAATTATAATAAAAGAACTTACGTGGCACCCTCGTAGTGCACCGACAAGCGAAGTACTTAGGCCACAAAGACTTGGAGAAACTCTGCCAACATCATCGATTTCTCTGTATGTCTTCGCCGTAGTTTCCTTGAAAGCCCAAATTTTCCTTTTGTAAGAACAATATTGATGATTGAAGTAAATGAAAATTTGTAACCCAGCAGGAGTTCAACTCTAGCATATATTATAAAAATAGATTTCTCCCTCTCCATCTGTTTTCCCTGTAGTTTTCTTCAAAATTCTCATAGGAACAACCATTTTTTATCTCCTTTTTTCTAAACTATGGCTACCCCAAAACCCCAAAGAACCCCAGAAGAAATAGAGGATATAATCCTCAGGAAAATCTTCCTTGTGATCCTTAAAGAAAACCCAGAAAATCCATCGTCTTCTGATCCAAGGGTTATTTACCTAGAGATGACAGCAGCTGAGATCTTAAGTGAAGGCAAAAGTCTTTTACTTTCACGTGATCTAATGGAAAGGGTTTTAATCGATCGTCTTTCTGGCGAATTCCCCAAATCGGAACCCCCTTTTAATTATCTCATTGGTTGTTACAAGCGAGCCCAGGAAGAAGTCAAGAAGATTTCCAACATGAAGGACAAAACGCTTCGTTCTGAGATGGATTCTGCCGCTAAACAGGCTAAGAAGTTGGCCGTTTCGTATGCTAGGATTCATCTGGGGAATCCTGGTTTGTTTTCTAATGGTAATTTAAGGGATAATAACCCGGAATCGGGTTCTTCTTATTCCCCTTTGCTTCCATTACTTTTTTCTGAAGTTTCGAATGGAGTGATGCTTGATGGATTTGGAGGTAATGATTTTGGAAGAGGGGTGGATTGCCCACCTGGGATTTTGGAAGACTTCTTCAAGGATTCGGATTTCGATACTTTAGACCCGATCTTAAAAGGGTTGTACGAGGATTTAAGAGGGAGTGTTTTGAAAGTTTCAGCTTTGGGAAATTTTCAGCAACCTTTGCGGGCTTTGTCGTATTTGGTTAAACTCCCCGTTGGTGCTAAGAGCTTGGTTAATCATCCATGGTGGATTCCTAAAGGGGTTTACTTGAATGGGCGTGTCATTGAAATGACTAGCATTTTGGGTCCCTTTTTCCATGTTAGTGCTCTGCCTGATCATACCATTTTCAAGAGCCAGCCTGATGCTGGGTGAGTTTGGATGGTGATTTTGTGTTGGCGGTAATTCTTCTTTTAGCTGAGTGGTGTTAACTGAGAACGAGTATTACCTCATTTTGTAAATATTTAACTATTATTTTAATCTGGTTCTTGATTTCTAGTGGCTATTGGAGCAGATATAAGAATTTATCAAAAGCATTGCCAGCATGGTTGAATGCAATTTTGCTTTGCAAAATAGATTAAATGATTGAAGTATTTGGATATCTGGTGAAAAAATTTATGGAGTTCAAACTAATGTTTAGTATATTTTGGGTAATGCTTGTTTTAGTTCTAGATTTGTAGTGGGAATGAACAGATACAAGTAGTTATTGGAAACATAACTGGCATTGTTGAATGCAGCTTTGCTTTTGCACAATGGATTGAATGATTTCTTTGAGTATCTGCTGCTAAAATTTATGTTCAAATAAATAGTTGTTTTGTATGTTCATTTTACTAGGGTAACTAAACTTAGGGCGGTTATAATACATTAGTATTAGGAGACTTTTATATCAGGCTTTCTCATTCGAGCAAACATTGAAGCCTGTGCATTTGTAGGTACTTGTAAAAGGGAAGGATTACTCAGTTTTGGGCTGAATGACTTCTTAAACCCATGGTTTAGTTACCTTGTCTGGCCTTCTTGGTGCTGTTGCTTAATATAGATATGCTGGTGGTATAGTGGGCTAGCAATGGCAGTCAATCGTTGCGTTTATTTTTTATGATGCCAACTATTGGAGTCTTTGTTGAGGGTTGGTCCTAAGTTTTGTTGCTTGTTTGCTGTTATTGTCTACCAGTCTTGATTGCTCCTCTCAAATTTTTTTGAGTGACCGTTTTCTAATTAAAGGTCTACCTCCTAAACTTGGATTGATACTTTGCATTTGTTGAGTTGCATAGTTTTGTTCAATGTTTGTACTAAATTGAGTTATTTATACATCCATGTAATCAACTAAGTTGAGTTTCAAAGTTTTTTCAATGGTTTGCTGTAATTTTTTTCTACTAGTAAGAAGATCTCTTTTGCATCTGAGAGAGACTCAAAGATGATGTGCTTGAGTGTATTTCATACAATGATGTTTGATGCCGATCTTTATTTATTTGGAAGCTACTTTATTCTTAAAGTTGCATTGCAGTAGTGAATCACTGAAGTTTCTTTCTGTTAGTATAATTACAGAAATTTTAAGTTGTTATCGAAGATTCACGCCTTTGTGTGTGTCTCATAGTATAGTTTTTCTCATGTACAATAGTTTTTATTTAATTATTGTCATTTATATGGCTTTTTCCTTCTATTAGCTTTTGTCTACTGATGGGTATTAATTCTTGAAATTACAGCCAGCAGTGCTTCTCAGACGCATCAACTAGACGAGCAGCTGACTTGTTATCTTCATTCACCACAATCAAGACTCTCATGAATACTTTATACAATAATCTGGCAGATGTTCTTCTCTGTCTCCTTAGAAACCCTGAGACTCGTGACAGTGTCCTCGGGTATCTTGCAGAAGTCATCAATAAAAATGCATCAAGGGCCCATTTACAGGTTTCCCTTCTAATTGTCTTTTTGAGTTTAAGTTGGATTGCAGCGAGAACATAACTATTGCTTCAAGAACTTGTTCTTTGGTTTATTCCACTTAAGAATGTTTTTACTTTAAAGGTTGATTTGTTCCTTAATTGTAAATCTGGTTATGTAGCTACTCTCGAGCCTCTTTGACACTGTTTATGTGGACCTGTATGACAGGTGGATCCTATATCTTGTGCTAGTTCCGGCATGTTTGTCAATCTCAGTGCTGTTATGCTCCGGCTTGCAGAGCCATTTTTGGATGCAAATTTAAAAAAAAGAGATAAAATCGATCCAACCTATGTCTTCAACAGTAATTGTTTGGATTTGAGGTGAGGTGGCCGACTTTTTTTTCGTTCTTTTTCAATGGGGAGCATGATACTTTTTCTTCAAACTGTTAGATGCTTTGAATTCCTTTCCTTTTAAGTATTGATAGTGAACCGATTCTAGGGGGCTAACTGCTTTGCATGCTACCTCGGAAGAAGTTGCTGAATGGATTGATAAGGTTAATCCCGTTAAAACTGATGGGAGTGGACTAAATCGTGACGGTGAAAATGGTTTAAGGCAAATACAAGAAGCCTCCAGTTCAGGAAGTACCCTCAATGTGAAGCCAACCCCAAGTAGTGGTGAAAAGGCTAAATACCCGTTTATTTGTGAATGCTTCTTTATGACGGCTAGGGTACTCAACTTGGGCCTTCTAAAGGCATTTTCAGACTTTAAGCATCTTGTCCAGGTAATGCATCACTGATTCCCATGCTTTTTCTGTTCTTGTTTCTTCTACTGACGAGTCAATATATTTGATATGCTGTCGCCCAGGACATTTCGAGAAGTGAAGATTCACTTGCCACTTTAAAAGATATGCAAGGACAGACACCTTCTCCACAACTGGAGCTCGAAATATCAAGGCTTGAGAAGGAAATTGAATTGTATTCACAGGAAAAGTTCTGTTACGAAGCTCAAATTTTGAGGGTACATCTTATCTCTTCCACCTTAAGTGTGTTTGCACGTGTTGCTCCAATTCTTTTGTTTTCTTGAAGACACACGTGTCCTATGCATATTTGGACATTGTATGTGGACATAAATCTGCAAGGATCATCCAAAGTAACGGAGAACTTGTAAAAATTCAAAGATGCCCATATTAGACACTGACGCTCAAATCTAAATAACATAGGTGTCTGCACACATGCATGTGGATTTGCTTGTCTATTGAACTTCGAATTGAATAGAAGCCTTTGTTGTTAATTAGAAGCTTTTAGGCTATATTGTAGATTGTGGAGCAATCTCTTCGTTGTTTTCCCTCTTATTCCTTATTAGCATTCTATTTGTGTCGATAGTAGTTTTCCTGTTTATATAATTATACTTGCACATTATAGCTTTGCTTTTGATATATTGAGGAAAGGAAATATATGAACTTGGTAGAATTTTGAATTGTTGCTTTCTTCTTTTCATTAGGATGGGGTGCTCATTCAACGTGCGCTTTCATTTTATCGACTAATGGTGGTTTGGTTAGTTGGCTTGGTTGGTGGATTCAAGATGCCCCTGTCGTCTACGTGTCCAATGGAATTTGCTTCAATGCCAGAGCACTTTGTGGAAGATGCTATGGAACTATTAATATTTGCCTCCCGGATTCCAAAAGCTCTTGATGGGATTATACTGGTAAGGCTTTAGATTTAGATAGCCGTGTGCTTTATCATACCACAATTTCATTTTGTATCGTTACAATTATATTAATTTATGCTTTCGCCTTTTGCTTTTCAGGATGATTTTATGAATTTTATTATTATGTTTATGGGAAGTCCGCAATTTATCAAGAACCCGTATCTCAGAGCAAAAATGGTTGAAGTTTTGAACTGTTGGATGCCACGTAGAAGGTTATTCAATCTCATTTGAAAAATATATACCGTTGCCCCATGTTTCTTGCATGTAAGTTCACGCTTTATTTATTGCTCTATTTCTAGTGGTTCATCTGCAACATCGACACTATTTGAAGGGCATGAACTGTCTTTGGAATATCTTGTGCGCAATCTTTTGAAGCTATATGTTGATATCGAGTTCACAGGTTCTCATACACAGGTAATTTGCTACGAATTTTTACTTTCTTTTCAATATAATTTCTTCAAGTTTTCATTGGCGACCATCACTCGTTGCTTCTCTTTGTGCAGTTCTATGATAAGTTCAACATCCGCCATAACATTGCCGAACTTCTTGAATATCTTTGGCAAGTTCCTAGTCACCGTAATGCTTGGAAACAGGTAGGGTCTTCTTCACAGGCACATAATGATACATGTGGACTTTCTACAGTTTGTTTTAAATTTAACAATCAATGCATATCTGAATTTTATTGAAATGTAATATGCTCTATCAGATTGCGAAGGAAGAAGAAAAGGGTGTTTATCTGAATTTCTTGAATTTCCTGATCAACGATAGCATCTACCTCCTTGATGAAAGTCTTAACAAAATCCTTGAACTCAAAGAGCTCGAGGCTGAGATGTCGAATACTGCAGAATGGGAACGCAGGCCCGCTCAGGAGAGGCAAGAGAGAACTCGGCTGTTCCACTCTCAGGAGAACGTCAGTTTCCCTTTCTGGCCCTCCCCCGCACATGTTTATGTATGATTTGTGTTTTTGAATTTAGACTTCAATTAAACATTTCTTATAGAGTTTTTTCAGATTATACGAATTGATATGAAGTTGGCAAATGAGGATGTTAGCATGCTAGCATTTACATCCGAGCAGATTACAGCTCCTTTTCTACTCCCTGAGATGGTAACATCTTTTCCTCTTTACCAATGCTCGTCATCTGTCATTTATGCCGCCAAGTTTCCGCTTTTTGATAAAATTATACTTTCTTGTCACAATTCTTCTAAGCTTCGGTTCATTGTTATTTTTTTCTTTCCAGGTCGAAAGAGTGGCGAATATGCTCAACTACTTTTTATTGCAATTAGTTGGCCCTCAAAGAAAATCTCTTACTCTGAAAGACCCTGAAAAGTATGAATTCCGTCCGAAAGAGTTACTAAAGCAGGTTAGCAAAATGTAGAATTTTAATTCCAGTAAATACTAAAATAATGAGGAAGTAAGAAGTTAACGATTTATTCAGAAAGTTACTTTGAATTGAACCGATATTTTATGTAATATGGATTGTTTGTATTTGAAGATTGTCCGCGTATATGTTCATCTGGCAAAGGGTGATGCTAAAAACATATTTCCGGCCGCCATCTCCAGTGATGGCCGATCATACAATGAACAGGTATTTGTTATCCGTGTACACCCATTCATTCCCATTCGTTAGATTAAGTAATGAAATGATTGTCATATCTGTTCTCATTGAGTTCTAAAAGTCCTTAAAGCACAATATGATAACTCGGGTTTTCTCTAGTTATTTAGTGCTGCAGCTGATGTTCTTCGAAGAATCGGTGAGGATGGGAGGATTATACAAGATTTTATCCATCTAGGTGCAAAGGCCAAGGCTGCTGCTTCAGAGGCCATGGACACCGAAGCTGCACTTGGAGATATACCGGATGAATTCCTTGATCCAATTCAAGTATGTATATTTACTTTCCAACTATATTTTGTTTAGTTTCAGGCTTTTCATCAAAACCAAAAAGATGGAAAAAGAAGTCGGCAACCATAAACATAAATTTTCCTTTCCGGCAGTATACCTTGATGAAGGATCCTGTGATCTTACCATCTTCGAGAATCACGTTAGACAGACCTGTTATCCAGAGACATCTTCTAAGTGATAGTGTAAGTCCATCCTCACGGATTCTGTTCTTATAACGATAATGCTTCCTAGAATGTTGTGTGCTAATTCGACATGATTTGCAGACTGATCCTTTCAACCGATCTCATCTTACCGCGGAAATGTTGATTCCGAACACGGAATTGAAGGCAAGAATTAAAGAGTTTATCAGGTCCCAGGAACTGAAGAAGGGTTGAACAAGCAAAGCTCCAAAGGAACGGTATTAATTGATTAGGGTGAATTATAGTAGGGTCCATCATAGTTTTCTCAAATGGCTTATTTATTTCATCTCTTCATTAAGTACTCATGTTCGACATCTGTGTTCAACACAATACTCGAGCATGATGAAAGGTATAGATGTCATGCAAGTATTTTGTGAAATTAAATGTCTTAGAATCTGATATTCGAGTTTTACACGAAAATATGCAATTTTTTGTTGTTGCTCTCCCGATTCTCATGGATTTTGTTCTGATTAATGTAGACTGACATGTGTCATATAATTGACTTTAGTGGGTGAATATCTCAGCAAAGATTTATTACATATATAAATATTCAACTCGAGACATACTTAAGCGATATCAAATTTCTTACTACTTAATCAACTTTGTTGTTAAAAATATGCATCTTTAATGATTATTCAAGAAAATAACTTTTTTATTTTATTATTATTATTATTGACTTATTAGCTCAAGAATCTCTTTCCAAAGCCCAACATTTCCAACACATCCAAGAGCAATTACACTTGGGCTACAGGCCACAACTGTCCAATAACCAGCCTTTATTTCTTCATCTAGTTGTTCCTTGTCCCACAAGCAATACCCGTCAAAGAACCTAAAATCTCCTGCTTTCACCACATTTCTCATCACCATCTCAGATGCACGCCCCACACTCTCTCTAGTCCCATAATATACCCCTTTCATCACTTCTTCAAAAACCCCACTGTTCTTCACACTATCTTCATCATTTGTTGGACTCACCAGAAAGAACCCATCTTCCAACGGCCCACCAAAGTATAACGACTGATCCGAGAATTCTACAGAATCATTCAGGATTGTTGATCTCATTTCTCTGATAGACATGAGTGACGGTCGGTTGAGTATGATCCCAGACGGGCCTATTGGTCCTGCCGTTAAGAGGAGGATCACTGTCCGTTCGAAAATGTGGACGCCGTCGAGCTTCTTGGTAGCGATAAGTAAACAACCCTTTTCAGGCTCATGGATGGTGTGAGCCCATTTATCACCAATCGTAACGAGTAGAGGAGGATGGTCCAAATCAGGATCGACCCATGCTGAAGAAGAGTCCTTGGAGCTTGATTCTTTCTCATTTGCCACTAATTTTGCTCTAAATGAACGCCAATCAGACTCAAAGGAAGGCTTGTTGTCATCTTCATTCAAATGGCAGCCTACCATTTTTAAACACAAAAATCTTAATCCTATGATTTAGAAGAAAAAAAATCACATTCTAGAAATTTAGAAGAAAAAAATCTCACAACCCAAATTATTAGATGTAATTCCTTAAACAATGATCATATGAATCAGTTGAATTGAACTTCGAGTTAGTGTAACGACGAACGTTGAATTTTATATTAAGGAACGATCTTCTAAAATCTAAAATTTTAGTAGGGAATGGACTTATAAATTATTCAGGGAAGTAAATACATATTTTTAAAAAAAAATACATAAAAAAATAAAATATATAATAATTTTAAATTTTTAAGGAAAGATTGATTTATTCGTCCCCTCATTCCATCCCTGAATGTAACGTATGAGAATCGAAGAACTTACATGTTATAGAACTTGGAGAAGCAACTTTTCTCGAGAAAAATAATTTGGATTTTTTCTTGGGAAAATGGAGTGGTTTAGGTTTGATTGAGGGCTCAAACTCGATAGTTTTGGTGAAGGAATTTGAGGAGAGAAGGCAAGCTTCCATGCTTTTCCGGGAAATGTAAGGATAAGAGAGCTCAAACTTTGATCATTTATGCTTGGAAACGAGAGTGAATTTCCACCGCAGGTTGATTTTGTTATCACCCTATTCAATCCAAAGTTGAACGGTATTTTTGTAATAAAAAATAACTAAAATATCATATAAAATATAAAATTGGGTAAAATATATAAATGGTCCCCTGATGATAGAGTATTGCTTTGTTGAATCTCTGATTATTAAAAGTTACAAAATGATCTTCTGACTATTATGATGTTGCTTTGTTGAGTCTCTTGATTATTAGAAGTTATAAAATGATCACTCGACTATTTATATATTCTAAACTCCATTTTTTTTTATAAAATTAACGATCGTCTGAATTGGACGTTAACTCACTGATTAATATATAATAAAACGTAAAATTTAGGGTTTAAGGCAAAAAAAGTAATTGAAAGTGTATCTAAAAAGTTGATAATAAAACAGAGTATTTAAAGGTGTATCTAAAAAGTTTATATTATCCTAAATAAAAGTTGATCAACTTATTTAAACAGGATTCTCGACTTAAGAAATCCTCCTCCTCGGAAGAATTTGTTAAACAAAGCAAATGAGTTATCAAATCTCTGAGATATCAAGATACTCCTCATCATCTATGAACAAGATAAATAAAAATCTGTGATTTGGTCCGGATTATGAGGAAGTGATCACTACTCTGAGAATCAACTTGAAAACTTTATTTTTGATCTGGATGCAAAGATTGCTGCAACTTTCGTTAGTATCTTTCTCATGTGAACTGATTTTTCTTTGGTATTTTATGTTCATTAAGTACTACTATTATTGTTGGGTATTTTAGTTGCTTCTGCTGCACAGCATTATATTGAAGAAAAATATATTATGATTTTCATCAAGTATTTTCTTTTATAAGATGAACTTACATCGTGTTGACATTATATCAAACACCTGGGCTGCAACTCTGACGATAACCAGAAAACTAGATACTTTTTTATTATATATTACAAGGTTAAATTGTTAAAATTATTTATCTTCACATTAAAAAAATTGATATCACATCTTTCAATTGTTTTTTAATAAATAAAATTAATTAAATTAGAATTTTAGAATATTTTTAGATTTCGTTAGATTATCATCAGGGATGTAAATGAACAGAACGTATATGTAATGTTTATCTGTTAAGCTAAATAAACGAGTATGAATAAAAATTTTATGTTCGTTTAATAAAGGAATGAACATGAATAGAAGTGTGTTCGATTCCTTTATGTTTATGAACCAGCTCGTTTATCAACTCATTTGCTTATGTTCATGAATAAACTCATTTAGAAGCTTGTTTACTTTTTATTTTTTTACATTTTAAATATTGGTAAACGTAGGATTGAATCGAACACATTGGTGAATTTTGGAGTTTAAACTATGAAACTTAAGAAGTTTATGATTAGTGACATAATTTTACCATTTTTTAACTTGCAAATGAACATATGTTCGCGAATGCTAAATGAACATGTTCGCGAACACATAAACGAACATGTTCATGAAAATTTCAAAAAACAATTAAACGAACATGAACACAATATTAAAAAATCAAACGAACATGAATTAAACATAAACACCTTTAGAAATAAACAAACAAACACGAACATATCCTTTTTTTTATTCAAACTCGATTCATTTACTCCCCTAAATTTGTTATCTCAACAATGAATAGACTTTCTTAACACCTCAATGAATTTTGTTCCCACAATTTTAATATGAAAAATATGGGATTCAAAAAGCTATATTGATGTTATACTTTTGTTTTCTTTTACAAATAATTTTGTTATTTTGATCCTCTAAATTATCAATATTCGTTATTAATATTTGTTACAAGTGAATGTAATAATTACAGATGACAAAAGAACACGTTAGTATCATATATTGGTCTAATCATATAAGATTATTTTTAAATATTTTATATAATGAGATTTGTAATGTTTAAGTCCTTGAATTTATATAAAAAAATATTTTTAATATTTAATATTAAATTTATTTATTGATTAAATAGCTTTTAAAACAATCAATTGAACCGATAATTGAGAGCCGAACCGAACCAAACTCCGATTCGGTTTTTAAAACATTGCTTCTACCAGCAAGGTTGCATCTTTGGGATGTATAACTAGCTTAAGGTCCTGAGCCAACCTGTGAACCATCTGATATATGCTATCAAAATTAGGATGGGATCTATCAAATACTGTGAACTCATGGACCTCATTGTCTATTTCAATAGAGCTTGCTCCCGATGGTTTTCGGACCCCGACGCTCTTCATCCGAAGCCTCACCATCGAAACGCCATCCCAATTCCCTGCTGCGGCGAAAATATTTGCTAACATGGAGAAATTTCCGGGATCCGAGCAGTCCAATTTATGGTGATCGCGCACTTTCTCCTCAAGTTCCATAGCACCATGCAATCGACATGCCCCCAAAAGGGTACCCCAAATAATGGCATTGGGTTCGAAAGGCATGGTATGCACAAGCATAAAAGCTTCCTTCAAACGCCCTCCACGGCCTAAAAGGTCGATCAGGCAACCATAATGCTCGATTTCGGGTACAACTCCGTAATCCTTTTCCATATTGTAGAAGCATCGTATGCCCTCGTCGATTAAGCCTGCATGGGAACAGGCACACAAGACGCCAACGAAAGTAACTCTATCTGGATTGAATCCTTCTTTCTTCATTCTTTCGAAAACATGAAGGGCTTCTCTGCCACGGCCGTGCATGGCAAACGCCTGTAGCATGACATTCCATGAAACAACGTTTCGTTTCGACATTCCATTGAAAACACTACATGCCCTGTCGAGACTACCACACTTTGCATACATATTAACAAATGCATTACACACCGCCACGCTCTGTCGAAACTTACGCCTCTCGACGGAATCGTGCACTTTTACACCCACTGCTAACGAACCAGACTCGGCACAAGCAGCCAATATACTAATAATGGCTCCATCATCCAACTCAAAGGCGTCTCGCACCATTTGATCATACAAAGCAATGGCCTCCTTTGCAAATCCCTTCTCAGCATATTCGGAGATAATTATAGTCCAAGGAACCGATGTCTTAACCGGTATCATATCAAACAAACGTCTAGCCATGTCCATATCGCCCGCCTTACTATAACCCATTACCATCGTTGACCACGACACAATATCCCTTTGAGGCATATTTTCAAACAACTCAAAGGCTTCCTCCATTTTTCCTTCTTTAACATAACCATTCAAGATGGTATTCCAACTCACAATATTTCTCTCAGGCATTTCATCGAACAACTTCCTAGCTTTCCTAAACTCCCCAACTCTCACTAACCCTCCCATCATAGAATTCCAAGAAACAACATCTCTATCTCCCATCACCATAAACAGCCTCAAAGCTGCTTTAAGACCCAAACCTCCAAACTTGGAATAATTATCGATGAGAGCGTTCGGTGCAAAAACATCACTAAAAAAACCATTCTTTTCAATCTGGGTATGAATCATTTCCACCATTTTTAAACAATTACAAGCCTTTAAAAGGAAAGGGTAGGTGAGGGTATTAGCCAGAATCCCATTCCACCGCATTTCAAAGAAAAATGCAAAAGCTTGGATTGGCTGTGAGTTTTGGACGTAGGCTCTGATCAAAGTGTTGTACAAATGAACATTGGGGTGTTGGATTTGGTTAAAAACGTTCAGAGCTAAGGTTATTCGGCGGCAACGTGAGAAAGCTGAGATTAACTTGGGAGCAATGGAATGGTGTTCGTGAAGATTTTGTTTGATTAATTGGGCATGAAGTTGTTTGATATGGGATAAGTTGGTGAGTTTATGGAGGTTTTGGAGTCGTTGTTCAAAGAGTCTTCTTGTTGAAAACCAAGATTGGGATTTACATGGAACCGGCATGGATTAAACTTGCATAAATTTTGTTTTTAGCAGTACCTGAAGTTGAAACTTGACAGCGTTCAATGACTTGAAGGAGAAAAGATGTAGTTTTTCTGGGTAAAATACTGAAATGCTCACTTACTTTTATATTTGTACAATTTTGGTAACTAAATTAAAAAATAATAAATTTTGATAACTTGTGTTATCGTTTATTAAGTTGTAATCGTTAGGACATTGATTGTTTGATGACTTGACACGTTAATAAAATAGTTTAATTTTTATTTTAACCCATATATTTTAGATAAGATATTAATATATACCTTTTTGTAAATTAAAAGCAGATAAAGGATACATTTTAAATTTACCCTTTTCTAATTGTTACATTTTATAGATTAATTAATCGAATCGTTAGATCTAAACGGTTTTGATTAATCGGATCGCTAAAAATGTCAATTAATAATTACAGTTGTAATTATAAATTTTGATAAATGATTAATCATCCGTTAACGTTAATAAATTATAATTAATTAATTATATTTTAGCAAAAATAGAGTTAGAAATAAAATCTGAATGTTTCTTCCCTATTTTTTAGTTTTTATGTTTATTTGTCTATATGTTTTTAGGTTCAGGCTTCATTAAAGTTCTTTGACACTATTAATGAACTCGAAAAACTGAAGATGAAGATACTTAGTTTGAAAAATCTAAATAAGATGCAATTTTTATAAACTAATTCAACAATTTTAAATAGTAGGATAAAGTACACAAATGAGCTTATGATTATATGACGTTGTTTTGTTGATTATAGGGTGTCAGTTTATTGAGTTCATAGATTATTAAAAATTACAAAATGATCCCCCGGCTATTCATATATTCCAAACTCGCCATTTTTCGTTAAAAAAATCAACGGTTGTCTGAACTGGACGTTAACATACTGACTGAGATATGATAGTTGTTTGAGACTCTAGGATTATATTTTATCAAATCTCAATCAACAAGTTAACGTCCAGCTCAAATTGTCGTTAATTGTTTTAACAAAAAATGACGAGTTTGGAACATACGAATAGTCGGGTGACCATTTTGTAACTTTTAATAGTAAAGGGACTCAAGAAAACAATGTCTTATAGTCGATTGATTATTTTGTAACTTTTAATAGTTGAGAGACTCAACAAAGCAATACTATGTAATCAAGAGACCAGTTGTATACTTTATCCTAAATAATATTAACTTCAAGTACTATAATAATATACAAAATGATGATTAAAGTATTATATTAGATATTTTTATCAAAATATAAATATCAAATGTGATATTTCTCTAATTAAATGTATTCATTACATTATAATATGGGATTAAAAGTAAAATGAGAAGGTTTAAAAAAATTCAAACTACACATTTTTGTGGTGCCTACACATTTTTTGACAGTGAATACATGTATCTAACGTTACAGACGTTATCACTTTAGGTGTCCCAACCGTAATGGCCGTTAAAAAACTTCGTTAAGTGAAAAGTGTCACGTTCTGGTAATTTTGATTTTTTTTAAAAAAAATTAAAAATATCATTATATTAAAAAAAATACAATTTTCTAAAATTACATAAAAATCCAAATACCTAAAAACCCTAACTCAATCTCATCATTTCCCTTTCCGGCCATGACCATCACCAACGCCATCGCAATGGCCTTCTCCCTTTTCAGCCGTCAACACTCATATCATTTCTCGTGTCGTCAGGTCTATGGGGTCGCGAATTATCACGATTTTTTCTGTCACATTTGTGGATTGAAATTGCAATTAGGGTTCTCTGATGACTATTTGTCAGGTGGTTGGTCGTTAACTTGAGGTGAGGTTGAAGGTAGGTTTGGTCGACGACAACAGCGGCAACAAAGGGAAGCATGCGACGTGGGTATAATGATTGAAGTTAGAGTTTTCAAAGTTTTGGAGTTTTTAAAAAATTGAAAAACTTGGGTTTTTTTTAATATAATAATGTTTTTAAGTTTTCTTTTAAAAAAATAAAATTTCCAAAATTATCATAACATGACACATGTTACTTAACAAAATTTTTTAACAGTCATTACGGTTAGGGAACCTAAAGTGGTAACATTTATAGCATTAGGCACCTGAATTGACCGAAAAAATTAAACACCACTTTAGGAAAAACGGTATAGTTTGCACTGTAACATCCAAATCATTGGGTCAGTGACCAAAATGTAAGAACTTCTAAATTCAGTGGTTGAATTAGAATAATGTGATAATTCAATACTTTATGGAGGAATTTTTTGATAGGTATTATAATAAATATGAATGTTTAATAAGGGCAAAATGGTAATTAGCAGGGGAATGATATTTTAGGATAAATATGGGGTAAAGATAGAAGTGTTCAACTCTTTCTCTTCTCTTCTTCTTCCTCTTCTTCTTCCTCTTACCGTGGACTCTTCAACAAAGGTGAGAATCTAAATTTTTGGTTGTTCCTTTAATTTTTGGGTTGGTAATGAAAGTTTAGGTATTATATAAGCTTAAGGAAAGTTTATATAGCATTAAAACAACAAGATGAGTATTTTAGAGATGAATTTGTAAAATAGGGTTTTAGATGAAATTTTGTTATGGATGAGTTTTTGAAGTTTGAGTAAGATTTTTGACTTGTCAAGGATTAAACTTAAGAGTTAGAAGTGTTAGATATGTCAAAGAAAATGTTAGAAAATTTGGTTTGATTTTGAGATTCAAGTGTTCAAACTGGAATTTGGATAGTTAAGAGTGGTTAATGAATATTAGTGGGTGTGGAAGTATCAAGGTGAGTTCAAAGGCTTAAGATATGTGTTTATGAAAGTTTTGGGAGGATTTTTGAGGTGATTTTCGGGATGAAAATGACCATTTTGGGCTTAGGGCATCGATACCCTTATGAGCAGTACCAAGACCTCATGGGTTGAAAATGCGTATTTGTAAAGAGTGTATCGATACCTGATGAGAGTGGTATCGATACCTTAAGGGATGGGTATTGGTACCTTAAGGATGATATCGATACCCTTTAAACATCGAATGCCAGATTGGTATCGGTACCTTGAGGAGGTATCGATACCCTTGAAACATCGAACCTTATTTCGGTATTGGTACATGCAAAGGTATCGATACCCCTGAAAGGTGGTATCAGTACCCTTAGGGTGGTACCAATACTTCCAAGCATTAAATGAAAAGGTAAGGTTTCTTGTATCCCAAGTTATTATGATTTGATATAATTGAGTTAAGAATGAAATTGATTTTAGATTATTTTGTGTAGCGGTTGAACGTAATTGATTTCTACTTAGCTTGGCATTTTGAGTATCGATTCAAAAGGATTCAGATTAGACTATAGTGAGGCAAAGGTGAGTGCAACTTCTCTTTCTTGTAATAGAGTTGAGGAAGGCTTGCGATAAGCCAACCTCCGTATTTTCGATCGAAAACTTTATATTTATTTTATGTTTTATTTCAATGTTTTATTCAATTTCCATTATACAAACTATGTTTTATGATTATATGTTATGGAAATGTGGACCTTGAACAAGTGCATGTGAACAAACTCTATGAGATAGAAACTATGTGAATAAGAAACACTTCGACTATGGATTGAACATAATTATGTGATTAATAGCCCAAAGTATATGTATGAGGATTAGAGGTATAGTTGGTATGCCAAGAGTCGAGGGTCTATGTGATCATTCGGGACAAATAGGTGACACTTCGGTACAAATTACGAGTTGTGGTGACAACATTAGTGCACAACCTTATAGTACTCAAATACCTAGCGTTCTCAGTAGTATACTTGGGCAAAGACATACTAAGTGAAACTAATAATAAGTATATTTTGATATGAAAAACAATGGAAACTCTTTGTAAAATATTTTGAATAAAACAAATAAGATTTTGCATAATAAGTTAGCACTAATAGTATTGTCTCACTAAGTCATCGACTTAGCGTGTGTTTTCTCACGCTAAGGTTTGAAGAAAGTTGAAGATTGATTGGGTGGAGGATAGCATAGTCCACTGAATATCAGATCAATACAAATTAAATGTAGGTTTGCTCATTTTGTAAAATGTTGGCATGTATTATACGTTTAACTTGAAATGCTCTGATCGATTTTGTAAACTTATATATTTTGTATTTTGTAAACTCTTACTTTTGATTATCTATGTACATTATTAAGATTTTATGTGAAATGATTTTCCATTTAGAATGGTTATATTTTCTTATTCTTGATTTGGACAATAAACTTTAAATTTATTACTATTTGTAAATTTTGTGTATTTTGAAAAGTCAAATGTGACACTTCGGATTCGTATCTGAGTCGGGTACGGGTCAGGGGTGTTACATGCAGACTGTTTTTTATATTAATCCAAATGAGAATCTATAAAACACTCGAATCTAAAACCTTAAAATTAAGGTTGATAGAGCATAAGGAGAAGAATTTCATCTCCTTACTATACACTTCAAGTTATCATATCAAAATTTATTGGTAAACTTGTGGGATTGATATACAAATTTCCTTCATTTCCTTTTCATACAACTAATGTTGGGCATATAATGTTAGCTTTGAAACCCTCCTTTCTTTGCCAAAGGGATATTTGAAAATGGTAACTCTTTGCCTCATTTCCCTGCCAAAAACCCAAATTTTCTGTAACTTATATTAATTCAGTTTGAGTTTTGATCTTTTATTTTTACAATATTAAACTAGATTTTCTCAAACTCAAACCGAATTGAATTACATGTTATAATACTCGATTTCGGTTTATTCAATAACCTGAACTATTCGAGCATAAACACAATATGAATCATCACATAATGTAATGGTTAACAATTTTAGTCATTGAACAACTTTTCGGGTAAACTATACGTTTAGTACTGAAATATCACTTTAGTTCTGTTTTTGTCATCAAAGTGTATTTTTCTCTTCAAAATCATACTTAACGTTACATTTTGGTTTCATGTTAGTCACTCACCATTAAAAAATAACAGAAATGCTGGCATTGTATTATCTTATGGTGACACATCATCAT